ACGCTAATGTCATCACTTCCAACTGCATTGGTTTTAATAGATTGCAGCGCGCGATAGATTTCGTCTTCCGAGGCTAAGGAAAAGGAAAAGGTAGTACAGATCTGAGGCAGAATATTAGAGTTGTAGAATTTAATAAGCTCTGCATCACCAGAGTTAGTAATTTGAGAGGCTAAAAAAGAATTGTTAATCAAAGCAGCATCACCAATGTTGCTAGGAATACTACCAGTCCTATTACCGCCAATGCCTAAAGACTGAAAGACACCCCACAATTTCCTGGAATCACCACCCCTGAATATGTGAGATAAAAAAGCTTTTTTTTCGCGTTGAAGTGCATTATTGGTGAAATTACGCAGTTCTTTATAATAGGTAAAATCAGAGGGTAGTCTGGAAGCCTTAAATGACTTATAGGCTTTATCCCTCAGCTTGATAAGCAGCCTAATATTATCAGTAATCCAAGGGCGATAATTAAAAAAATCAACCTTATCACCAATACTGGACATATGCAAAAATTCCCACCGAGACACAGCACGCAGATGGTCCAGAAAAGCTTCCGAGTTGAAATCCTTAAAATCTCTATAAGTAATACTCTTAACAGGATTTTGACGTATTTCAAATGATAATGTGACAAAAACAAGTAAATGATCAGCAATATTGTAAATATCAGCGACTCCACATTCATCAATTGAAGCATCCACATTTAAGACTATAAAATCAATCAAGATAGCGGAAGAAAGGGTGAAGACTAAACTGGTCAATGGTAGGAATAAATCGATTACCATAAAAGCCATCAACATCTAAGCCGTTGATGTTGAAATCACCTAAGCTGACAAGTTCCTTAGAAGTTGGAGCAAGATAGGATAGGACTTCTTCAAAACGCGAGAGAAATTCACGCAAACCTCCATGAGGTCGATAAACAACACCAATCACCATGGAAACAGGAAAGTCAATAAGTTCAATCCAAAGACGCTCTATAGCGGAAGATATTTCCTGAAATAAAATATTATATTTCAGTGTCGATTTAATGTAAAAGCCAACTCCACCCCCCGAACCTGCATTGGTGTGACTACAAGGACGTAATCTACCAGCAAACACGAATTGATAACCATTAATTGAATATTGTGAACTAATTGTATTAGTATAAATTCAAATTTCAGATGTTGCAAAAATATCGAAGTTCCCATTAACAATCAAATCCTTAATGTCTAGAAAATGGGCGGGTAAATAACGAACATTTAAATGAGCAATTTTCATTATTGATTAAGATGACATGGAAGAACAATTTGAAGAAAAAGGTCAAAGGTTGGAACAAACTAGAAGGGGGAGAGATATTAGAAAACCTAAATGGATGGAAGATTATGTCACTTTAGCTTTTATACTGAAGCAGAAGAACCGATGAGTGTTGAGGAAGCAAAAATGGAAAGAAGCGATGGAGAAAGAATTAAAAGTGTTGAAAGAAAATAATATATGGACAATGGTAAAACGACCAAATAACAAAAAGGTGTTTGAAAGAACAAGTGAAAACAATATTGAAGCCAGGTTGGTGGCTCGGGGTTTTCAGCAGGACGATCAACAAGAAGCATACGATGTGTATGCGCCAGTGCCCAAGTTAACAACTTTTCGTGTTTTGTTAGCAATTAGTCAAAAAATAAAAGTACCTGTACAACAAATGGACGTGGACAAATGGAGAAATGCATTTTTATATGGAGATTTAGAACAAAAGGTATACATGTCTTTCCAAGAAAAGAAAGAACAAACTAGTAATTTTGTATGTGAATTAAATAAATCAATTTATGGTTTAAGAAAGTCACCCAAATGTTGGAACGTAAAGTTTGATTCTTCGTTATTATTACTAAATATTAAAATCCCATTCTAATTTAAGACAAAATTAAATAAATAGTAATAATTTTCTGACTTTAGTAGTAAAACTTAAGTTATTTTTTTCTCTGCAACATTTTGCTATATTACTAAGGATTTTTGATACCATTCCAATCTTACGCAAGTTTCGACTCTAAAATTACGACGGTAAATATTTTTATTATAATTTTTCTTTAATTAAGTTTTTATTACTTTGAAATTTAATTTTACAGTCGTGTCTGAACACGACTCATTTATCTATTTATGTCTCAACGCTATTAATCTGTAGTATTAATTAAAATTAATGAATAATAGTGTTTAATAATAAAGGTTCTCATTGAAAACCGGTTAATCATTACCAACAGTCATAACTCATAATTTATTTATTAGAAAGAAAACCAAACAATGTGTGTTCATATTCGCATATCGCCTAATTATCGGTATTCCGGAAAAAATATGTATTTGTTTTGAATTTTTATTTTTCAATTAGTATGCAAATCACGATTTCATGCTTTATTGTGTAATATAAACTGCCTTTGTTATTCTCCTATTTTACTACCTCAAAGTAAAAACTTAGCATATATGAGACAATCGGTTAATATAAAAATAAATGCTTAATTTTAATTTCTAAACTGTTACATAAGAAAAACGTTTGTAAAATTGAAAATAATCATTGTTTATTTTTAATTTCCTATCATTACACAAGTCATTAAAGGTGGGGAAATACATCTACAACTAATATTTTTTGGATTGTGTTGATTGTATCTTCTTAGAACATACGATCCAAGATTTAATTTCATTTTTCCATACTTACATACTCTTCCGGAATTGTATAAATTATTTTCTTTAATAACATCACGTGAAGAAGCTAAAAAAAGATGAGAAAAATATATTTTTTTAATAGAACAAATCTTACGACAAATAAATGTTGAAGGACAACAAAGAGCGCTGGTATAATGTTCAATCTTGTATAAAGGAGCACAATTTTTTTCTATTTCTCTTCCATAAAATAATTCTGTGTCACAATACGTTGGTTTGCAATGTTTCAATTTTTTAAAATCTTTAGTACAAATACAAGTTTTACATTCAGATTTTAAATTTATTATTGACCCTTGTTTATATTCGATGTTTTCAATGTTACATGTTATTGGAGGAGAATCTTAAAAGAATGATTTAGTAATAATTATAAAATATTTCCATTTTTTTATATATCTTACTTGTACAAACTGGATCTGGACAACACTCATCTAAAGAATACTTCATAAAGCAATTTTTATTTTTATATAACGATATATTTAAATTGTTTTCACAACTTTTATCTACGCAGTCAAAATAGTTCCTATACAAAAAAAAATGGATACTTTGGTATTTTAAACAATTATTTCTTACCCTCTTTTTCCTAAAAGACATTCACAATCCATTTTACACGTTGGAATGTCTGTAAAGGAATCCAAACGCGTTCCAATAGGAATATTTAGATTATTGTATCGACAATAGTGAATAGACCTTTTATAAACGCATTCATCATAAATGGGGCAACCTTTATATGTTGCTGTTGGTTTACATCCAAGTGACTTATAAATGTGTGAACCAAATTGGTCGCAGGCGTTATTATGAACTAAAAATTAATTTTGTTAAAACAATATGTTTTAAAATAAATAATTTTTAATTTACCTCCTAAAACTAAAGGATACAATTTTAAGTTAAATAATATAATCACCAATTTCATGTTACTCATAATGATAACAATTAAAACCGCATTCTGAGTAACTTCGTAGTAACTCATTTCTTTTTAATATCTAGGATTAATTTAAACCATAACTGTTACTAATTCTGTGAATAAATTAATAAATCGTGTAAAAAAAATAATCTATAGTCATGTTAATTTTAATTTGAAAGAAAATTTAATGTAACCATTCAAATTCACGTACTAGTTTTGTATAGGTTTATCAACAAAAACATCAGACTTCACAGTAAATTTTATGTCAAATCTGTATTTTTTGTTCCAGCACCTAATTTTTCTTATTGTTCGCTTCATTTGGTAACGCGTTCAATATCACTTTCATCACTGAAGTAATCAGTCTCACACAATCATCCATGTATCTTACAGCTATGTAGATACATGCTATAAGATGATAGCTTATATCCATGTATCATAACCAAATGTATCTCTGATTACTTTCCATGATCTACGTCATTTCGTGAGATACTCACTACCCAATAGTTTTCATCACTATCACAATCACTTTCATCACTAAAGTAATCAGTCTCACACAATCATCCATGTATCTTATAGCTATGTAGATACATGCTATAAGATGATAGCTTATATCCATGTATCATAACATTCATACCCAAATGTATCTCTGATTACTTTCTGATCTGACGTCATTTCGTATAATAGTCGCTACCCAATAGTTCTAGCGACCTACAGGAATGTCAGTAATATTTATATTTGTCTCATGATACTCAGTCGCGGAAGTAAAATTTAATTAGGATATACACATCACTGAAAAGCCTCGTGGTATTGCACAGCATTACAATTTGTTCAGTAAACCTGCCAAAAACATACTATCCACCAATTACTACATTCTTCTTTCTTATGGCGCACCAACCCAATTTGAGTCTCCTTTATTTTCTGCCTCCATTGCCCTCTGTCTGCTACTTTTCGCCATATTCTGTTCCCGGGTTTTAGGAGTCTGTAAACTTGTCGTTTCCCATGCATGCTAGCGTTAACAGTTCTCTTTTATTATCTTATTAGCCTTTAAAATTATTTCATGAACTACTATCTAATCCCTATGTATTGTGTTGTAACGAAAACCACAGGGTAACGACTACCACAGCATTAACGGCGTGGTCATTCTTATACACAAGAATTATAAAGAATCTGTTGTTGTCGTATGATGTGTAAGGTGTTAATAAATTACAGTCCCAATAAACTATAATCATTTACTAATAGAACGGTGCTTTAAGATACAATTCACGTTAACTAGATGAGGACGGTACAACGACTAGATAAAAAAATTAAAGTGACATGGCCGCCGATACAAGTATTTTTATAAACCCGTAACGCCATCTATTGTTCCATACTACATTCCTCCCTTACAATGTAAACAAAAATAAGAACACAACTCATTTTCTAAACATTAATTGTCTCGGAAACGAACAGGTATTTGTCGATTTCTTGGTGGGTTTCGTCTTGATATCGGTGTAGACCCTTGTGACTTGGTAGGGGTTGGTGATTGTGTATTAACAGGGGTTGAACATAATTCTGTCGTTACCTCATTTGGTGATACTTCGATTCTTGATTCATATTTGATCTCCGTCGGAACTTTGTCAATGGTATTGTCATGTGCAACTATCTCATTTGATGAACTCGTTTCCGGTTCTGTTGTGTACCGATGTCGCATCTGATCTGCATGTTTTCTCTTCGGGATACCATTTACATCAACCAAGTAGGAATACGGACCTGATTGTTTTAATATATTACCGGGCGTTGATCCCTTGGTTAATGGGTTGTTTATCCATACGGGGTCGTTTAACTCAAAAAACTTTTCTCTGACGTGTTGTTTGTCATAATACATCTTTTGTTTTAATGATTCATTATCAAGTTTTCTACCTACATCTGGTTTCAGTTGGTCAAAAATAATTCTTGCTGGTCGACCGAAAATTAAATCACTGGGAGTCCTTCCTGTTCCTCGTTGTGGAGTATTTCGGTAAGACATCAAGAATTTACATAGTCTATCATGTAGATTAAAATTTTTGTCACTACTGTTTAAACGGTCTTTAAAGGTTTTGACCACTCTTTCGGCTTGTCCATTTGATTTTGGATGGTAAGGAGTTATTCTCACATGTTTAATACCTTGTGATTTACAAAAGTCTTCAAAGTCACTTGACACTAACTGAGGGCCATTGTCTGTAACTAACGTCTTCGGCAATCCAAATCGCGCAAAAACACTTTTCATCACTTTGATGGTCGACGCTGTTGTAATATTGTTCATTTCTTCAATTTCAATCCATTTTGAATACGCATCCACAATGATCATCCACATTTTCCCTTCGAATGGTCCTGCAAAATCTAGATGAATTCTAGACCAGGGTTCCGGTGGTGCATTCTAGGGGTAGAGACGTAAGTGTTGAGTATCTTGTTTACTACTTTGACATGTTTGACACCCTTGGACATATTTTTCGATATCTGCATCTATGTTTTGCCAATATACATGTAAACGCGCTATTGATTGCATTGCGGTTATTCCTGGATGTCCATCGTGAAGCATTTTGAGCGTTGGGTATTGAAGGCTTTTGGGAATACATATTCTTCCCTTCCACAAAATCAGGTCTTCCTCGTATGATAATTCTTCTCTCTTTTCATAAAAGGATCTTAATTCAGGTTTCACTCTATGTTTGTCTGGCCAATGGTTCTTAATATATGGAATCAGTTCTCGTAAAATTTCATCTCTTTGGATGTGAATCCGAATTTCTTTCTGTGTCATAGGCATATTTTTCACTCTTAAATGAAGTAGATGTCCATATTTAGGTAAACCAATTTTTTCATTTTTCGTAGTTTCCGTATTCTCCTTCAGTGGTAACCTAGATAAAACATCAGCTGTCTGATTTTCTTTTCCTGGTTTGTAGGTAATATCATAGTTATAGCTATTTAAAATCATAGCCCATCGCAATAGACGATTGCTAGCGATCTTCGGTGTTTCTCGATTCGAACTGAAAATCCGTTCCAACGGTTTATGGTCTGTTTGTAATATAAACTGTCTACCATATAAATATTGATGGAATTTAGTAACAGCATAGACTACTGCCAATGCTTCTTTATCTATAGTGGAATAGCGGTTTTCCACTTCAGTAAATGTTCTGGACGCATATGCTATGGGTCGAAATGAGTTGTCAGGCATCTTATGCCATAATACTGCTCCAGCTCCCTTATCCGATGCATCACTACTTACGTATAATGGAAGTTCTGAGTTATAATGAACCAAAGTAGCTTCATCAGTTAAGCTGTCTTTCAAGTCATTAAAGACTTTATCGTCATTTGGAGTCCACTTCCAAACGCTGTGTTTCTTTAAAAGCCGGTGTAATGGCACACACTTAATTTGTAAGTTTTCTATGAACTTTCCGTAATATGTTATCAATCCCAGAACTGATCTTAATTCGGACATATTTCGTGGTGTTGGCATGTCCTTTATTGCCTTAACATGTTCTGCGGTTGGGTGTAATCCAATTTTATCTATTTTATGTCCTAAAAACTTAACTTCCTCCTGTAACCATGTACATTTTGTTTCCTGTGTTTTAATTCCTGCTTCTCGTAATCTAGCTAATACTTGTTTAATGCGTTCAATATGTGTTTGTTTGTCTGGTGCTGTTATCAGAATATCACCCAGATAACATACAACACCTGGTAATCCACAAAGTATTTGATCCATAGTTCTTTGAAATAAAGACGGTGCAAATGAAATTCCAAAAGGAAGGCGTTTATAAGCATAGTAGCCTTTATGTGTTGCGATAACCAAGTATTTTCGACTTTCAGGATGTACTGGTAATTGTAAATAAGCATCCTTTAGATCTATATTTGAAAAATGTACTCCTCCGCATAATTTTGAAGCTATGTCTTCAAAACGGGGAAGTGGATAGTTGTCTACTTGTACATGTTGGTTTATGGTTACCCGGAAATCACCACATATAATAATAATAAATTTATTGCCACATAGTTAATACAAGAGAAAAATAGTATATATGTATACATAAATGAATAAGTAATGCATGTTGACGAAAGGTCAATACAAGTATTTTTATAAACCCGTAACGCCATCTATTGTTCCATACTACAGTTGTGAATACGAAGCTATCAACGATCAAATAATCACCCTGAAAGTCCATGCAAAGCCAGTCTACCTACTAAACTATATCTAATGGGCGATTTCAATATTAACTTTATAGAAAAAAAATAATAAAATGGAAATGATTACAGATTTGTTGAATATATTTAATGTCAATAAATTGCTTGATGAAGCTTCTCGAATTGCACGACGCAGTTTGCACCACATGTATTGACAATCTATTCCAGAATGTCAGTTATTAGTAGCTTAACACAGCTATCATGAATTTCCATTTCTCAGATCCTCTTGGTCACTTGACCACTTGGTCAGCCTCAAAGCACCGGTACAGGTTAGAACTGAAAAAAGAAATATTAGGAAAGTACATAGGAAGAGTTACATAAGGAAGAGTTACATAGGGATGCCGTGTGGGATCTTTCCGTGACCAACTCTGTTCAGAATTCTAGTAGCGTTTTCCATAAAAACTGAAGACGAAAATATCGGAAAAGACTACCACAAGAAATAGTAAACTGTTCAAAAACACTGAATAGATGAAGATAATTGAAGGCTTTATTTATAGTTATGAGTCTGCAGATCTCAAGAATGCTACCAACTATACAAAAAATACAAGAAAGAGTATCATGACATGATATGGACTAACAAATAATATAATAGAAGTTGTAACAGAACTGTGTTATTATCTCGGTATTATGTTTAATAAATGTGTCAAAGAAAGAATTTTTCCTCAGGAGTTTAAAATGGCGAGAGTACTGTTATTATACAAGAAGGGTGATAGGTATGACTTAACATAGTCATACTGTAGAACAATATTAATTTTTCCCGTTATTTCTAAAATATTTGAAAGATTATCAGCAACAAGTTTGGTACAATATTTTAAAACTAATAAATACTTTACAACCAGTCATCATAGGTACCAATGGGGTAAATCTGTGATTGACGGATTTTGCTTTTATAACGAAATCACATGATGAACAAAATGTAGTTCATTTTAACATTTGATACCATTAGTCACTCGATTCCCCTACGCAAACTTGAGTTTCATGGTATACAACTAAATTTAATTAGATCTTCTTTGATGGTCAGACAACAGTATGTTGAATACTAGTAAAAGATCAACCAACTTAAAAATCAAACATGGTGTCCCTCAGAGGTCTGTTCTGGAACCTCTTCCATTTATTACATATATTAATGGTATGCCAAGCAATATTGATGCAGAAACATATCCCTATGCGTATGATACGTCCATAGTATTGTAAGATAGTGCAAAGCCTAACTTGAAGACTAAATCGGAACAAGCTATATTATTCTGCTAAGAATGGTGTAAAGAAAACTTATTGAATCGTAATTGTGATAAACCGGAACATATACTGTTGGAAATCACTAGATATAAGAACGTGTCAGTGTGAAATTTCTTTGTTTGAATCACAATTGCGGGTTGATGTTGGATGTGCACTTGAGGTATCTTCGATTACGCAGTTCCGCAGATTTTGCAATAAGAAGAGTAGAGCAGGTGATCACTCACTAGGCGGCTAGGTTATCATATTTTGCTTCGTTTCACACGGTATAGTAGTTATGGTATTCTGTTTTGGGGCAGGACATAGGATTTTTTGAAAATTTTCTGACTGCGAACAGAAGGAAGTTGTAGGACCTATTTTGATAGCACTTTTCGTTTTCGAAATATATGCCAAACTTTCAACCCCTAAAACTCGGCCCAGGGGCTTTTACCGTACGTATAAAAAAATACGTAAACCTTATTTTGGTCCATTTCTATGGCTGTACCAAATTTCATCAAAATCGGCGTGCCACAGTTGTGTTACTTCCCATGTAAGTGTATTGCTGCATATTTGCGACAACACGGAAAAGCATCCTTCTAACGATAGTACTCATGCGAGGAATGTGTTGTATCAGTTGAGTAGTATAATTTGAATTTTAATGTGTATTTTGTAAGTTGTCGTTATGAATAATGTTATTATTTATACGGATGTGACGTACTGTAGTAATTGAGAACTTTTATTTGTTTTGGGCGATTTTAATGATAAAATTGGGGAAGTAAACAACGATATACAGCAACGCACTGTAGTCAGCAAATATGGCATAGGACAAAGGAATGGATGTCATCAAATGCACGTCAAAGCAGCTTTTAAAAAAGTAAGAGACAGAAAATCAACAGGCTCAGATAATATCGTAGCGGAAAGGCTAAAATGTACTGGGAATAAGGGTATTACTTTGTTACACCGAATTTGTCAAGAAACATCTGGGAAACAACTGGGAAGTATGCAAAAGAATGGACAAATTTTGTATATTCAATTACACAAGAAAAGGCCAAAAAATTAATGCAATAACTATAAAATTATTTCTCTAATAAATCTCTCAAGGAAAATATTACTCCATATCATACAGGAAAAGCTCAAAAAATAGCTCCATTGGTTTTGAAACATCCATTGTCATCGTATCAGTTTCCATAGCACTGTTCATTCGTCCAATATTTGGGATAGTCTATTGCGATCTATAGAAGTTATAGGCATGTGTAAAGCCGATAAACACGGTGTATACGTCGATCTCGTATTCTCACTCTTTAGCTGGAATATGATTTTAAATATTTGATCTATAATGGAACTGTCACATTTAATCCATGTCCAATAATCCCACAAGCTAGGGGATCAAGATGTTTTTTGATAATATATTTCAATATATTGTAGTCACTGCAGAGAAGAGATCTATCACTAGTGCACTTAAATTTAACTTCTGGGTAGATAATGCTTCTTTTCCCGTCGACAGAGATTGTTTCTCTGTCTTAGTTTAAAATCAATACTTTCATTAGGGTTGTATCTTAATTGCTTCAATTTTGTAACTCTCCAGCTTTACGCCCAGAACTGATTCAGTTGTAGGTAGTTTCTCCAGTATGATCGTTATGCTCACAGGATAGTGTAGGCCTCTGCTGCGAATATTGACAATTATACATGTAAATTGAAAGATTTTTCTGTTTCTAAAGGAGTGAATATATTCCGCACCATACACTTCCATGTAAGTCATAGATTAGTGATCCATCAATCTTAAACGGTGGTTATCATTTCTCATTAGCGTATTTCAGTATATAACATCGTAACGATCGATTTTGTAATTGTTGATCCAGTAAAGCTTTTTTACCCCATTGATGTGTTCTTTATATCTACAGAAAACCTCGAAAAGAGATATAATTTATCTTG